CCAATTTAAACTTTACCCCCGTGTTATTTAAACTCACTTCCAATTGGAGAATATTAGAGGAGAAATTTGGATAATATATTACTAGGAGAAAATTAGGTCCTTCTTTTTTAATTACGTTATGGATACCCAAATCGTATAATTATACCTATCTTTACACATGTATTACCCGCTCTTTCATATCTATGGTAAAACATATAGGTACCTATCTAATTGTACACCTCCACACTCACATAAAAAAAAAAAAAAATATGCCTCTCTTTCCATATAAAAACTTATACATGTACATATCAACAGGTGCATCAGTGTTCAAGTACAATATCATAGTTGTATACATACAGTCATGTGTTGGCTTTCATGCACGCAAAGTAATATTTCCAAAAGCATTGTAAGAGAAAATGGAGAAAGTTTATTTGTGAAGTGTTCCATCCATTTGGATGTCAACAGACTGTTTGTGTTTATGTTGTTCTGACTACACATGTGCATGAACGAGAGACACTGGTAGTTTCAAAATTTTTTGCAATCTAGCCTAATTCATCAATATTCTTTTTTTCTATCATCTTTGTTTTTAAATATCTCACATTGTGATAACGGAAAATCTGCCAAGAGTGGTGAAACATTTTAAGAACCTAGACACAAATTTACTGTGAACTAGTGATTAAAGCACTTTCTAGACATTTTCTGTTTAGTGAATTATTTTCTCTTTTGATTAGAGTAGCTGGTCAGTTTTGTTATGGTGAACAACCAATGCATTTTGTGTATTGTTTTTTAAAATGTCTCTTTTGTATTCATAGAGTCTTTTGTTTAAACTTCTTGACCTTTCTCCAATATATTCTTTCTGGCAATCCCTGCAGTTGATAGAGTAAATTCCTCCTTCAAGTTTTGGCTTGATCTTTTGTTTTGTATTGATTAAGTCTTTTATTACTTTAGATGGAAAGAAAAAGAATATAGATGAATTTGGTTAGACTTCATAAAATTTTGGAACTACCAGCATCTTTCATTCACAATGTCAACAACCCCAATTCAATGAAGTCCTAATGGAGGAAACGCATCACAAATAAACTTTTTCCATTTTCTCTTATAATTTTCCCCAATACCATTCTTGATACATAAAAATATATCATTAACTTATATATTTCATTGAAGATGACTGGCAATACACCATAATTAAGCTTTTTATTAAATTTTTCTTGCATTTGTTCAAGTGATTTCTTTTATGGAAAAATTGTCCAAATGATCTTGGCTGACCTAATAGTTATTTTCAAGGCTGTTTTATTGTTTAAATGAATATGTAGAATTTATATATATATATATATATATATATATATATATATATATATGGATGGGAATGTTAATTTCTGAACATGGTCAGCACATTTTGGCCTTGTTCATAATTGATATTTTTGAGAGTTGATGTCTTTTTTATTATTAATGCTTGAAAAAAACAATATTAAATGAATTTAGAACTGGTGATCATATTGTGAAATGTTCTTGATTATCAGAAAATAGGTTTTCCATTGAAATTTGAAATTTTTGAATATTACAATTTAGCAAATGGATTTGTCCAAGTTTAGCATTCCTGCCTGACAAAAGACCCCAGTTGTAACTTTTCAACCATTAAAAATCACAGCTGCTTTCTTGGAAGTGCAGTTGCATGAATGAAGGTCCACGTGATTTACTGGCTTCTTTCCAAACACTGTTTACAATAATAAAATCAAGAAGTCATGTCAAAGTACATTTACTTGTTCTGCAAATAAGATCACCCACTCCTAGCCCAAGAATCCAAGTGATTGAACTCGGAATTTGAACTGAAGTAACCAAAGATACTGGTGATTTTTTTTCCCTCTATTATTTACATACTTATAATAACAGTAGGTTGGAACTGATCACTTAATTGGTATTATGTTTTAGCAGCCAGGTTAGTGATGTCATTGCAATTGTTGTGGTTTTTTTTTTTTTCTGTTTCCCTCTGCTTTTATGACAATACACTTTTCTGGTTTTGATATCTAATAAATAATTCATCATATGAAGAATTTTTCCTTTTCCTAACAACCCAAAATTATTTCAAAATAACATGGCAGCTATTTCTTACCAGCCTTTATCCATAGTTGAAAGGCCCTAGTTCTGAAACCTTTTGTTTGTGATAAAGCACTTCATTAACTTGGTACATTATATTTTGAGTAGGAAAATGAAGCAAATAGACATAGATATTGAAGTCCCAATAAGAGGTATGCTTAAGTAGGTAACTGAGCCTTGGTTTATCATGATGGCCTCCCATGGCCAAATTGGTAATGACATGCTTTGGCTATACGAGTCGTTTCCCCAACAGAAAAACGCAGATTATTATATTTTATTCGATCGGGCATTCATGAATCATGCCACCACCACTGTCCAGCTTCAAGGTCGGAAGGTCATTAGGCTGGTATTCTGTGTCATAACATAGCTGGTCAATGTAGGTGATTGCTGGGTGACCAACCTGTCTTGCACCATGGCTAGATGTTCGTAGCAGTAAATTACTCACAAATTCTTTTTTTGCGCACCGGCTGTGTTCTGAAAAGTGCATTTTGTGTTCACGTAATATTGTAAAAATATCAGAGATGGGTTCACAGAGCCATGATTTAGATGTTATCTCCAAGAGATGTTAAGTATAGCTCTCAGCATCCAAGTCTAGGTTCCATCAGGCTCAGACTGTAGGCTTTTAGTTAATATCCAAGCAGTGGCACAACACATTAACACCAGCTCTACAGTGGCTTGAAAGAATCTCCACTTGAGGTGGTCTGGTAGATCAGATTTCCAGATTACATCCATTTTATTCAAGGCAGTCCAGGCTTTAGCTAAGCGAATTTTTACATAGTTTTCAGTAGAATTTATTTTGCTTCCTAGGTATATAAAAATACAAGTAGATTGACATTTACTAATATTAGAAATTAAATACTAAATTATGAAAAAGCCTTATGGACCTGTTATGATAATCAAATGGCAAAACCAACTGACACTGAATACAAAGGCTCCAAAAATACATCACTAATGTGCTTTGAGAGTTGGTTATGTTACTGTCATCTAGTAACAATCCCTGGATCAGTTCATGAAACGGATTCAGTAGGCATGAACAAAAACTGGTATCACAGAGACTAAACACAATAACCAACAGATATTCCATATCAGCCGAATCATCTTGCAATTGTTTCATCCACTAGACAAGATGGTAAGCAATTCTGAAACCTCTTGATGAGTGGATGGAACAATTACAAAATGGTTAGTCTATGAAACTCCATAGTCAAGGTGTTTAATATAACATCAGTCAGTTAAGTGACAATTTTTTTTTGCATTAGTCCTATTAATATTTAATCTCCAATATTGAGCACTTTATTGAAAAGACTGCTTGTCTTAAATCTCTTTTCCTTAAGACTTCCACTGATTGACAGCATTTCTGGCTTTGCAATACCTTTATCATTTTATATATATATATATATATATATATATATATATATATATATATATATATAGTGATTGATTTATTTTTATGACTTATCAACTTTTGAGGGTTATTAAAGCCAGAAATTATTTTTAGCTTGTAACATTTTTGAGGGGAGATAATGATTTATAAGTCCTATTAATTAACCCATAGCGGGGAGAGAAGAGATGGATCTATACCTTTCCCAAGGGTATTTGCATGTAATCTGCATCTGCTGGAATTGAAATTTCTGTGCCATTATCCATGAAACCACCTGGACATCCAAGCTTACAGCATCTGGCATTCCCAAGCAGCCCCCCCCATCTAGGTATTACCAGGTTTGATGTTGCTTAATTTCAGTGGTCATATAAGAATTGATGTTTCAATGTGAGATATATATATATATATATATATATGTGAAAAGTGTCTTCAGTGGTCTGCCTCTACTTGGTTTCATGTGCAAATTTTGTACACAATTCTCAGGTGGCTAATGATATATGCTATAATGGTGGCTTTAAATAACCACCAGAGCTAACATAAAATTCTGGGTAACCAATATATCAATCAAGCTTACCATGGTTGGCATCCAATGTATGCAAGTTAACAATCACAGTCCTAATGTTGGGATGGGGAACCAACTGAAACACCAAAAAATAACAACTCCTCTCATCCATCAAAGTGCTCTGCAATAAATCCAAACACAAACTATTTACTTTAATGATAACTAAAAATACCCACTAAAGAGTAAAAAGTGGACTTTGGGGTCACAAAAAGTCTTCAATGTTTGATAGCAGAGCAAATATTAGTTATAGGAAAGGTTTCTCCAACAGTTGGTCTCTACTCAGTTTCATGTGATATTGTTCTGGTAGAAACTGTGGTAGTTTAAAGGTTGATGTTTTGAATTTTTTTATATCTTAAACTGCCCTACATTTTCATTTTTGGAAAATTGTATTGAGCACTTTTTTTTAATTAAGCCATTCTTTTTGGCAAACATTTTTCTGTCAAAGGTTTAATTATTTAAAGCACATATATATATATATATATATATATATATATATATATATATATATATATGGCTTATAACATGAATACCTTAAAAACCAGGTTAGTATTGTTTCATTATCACCAATCTGACCCCAAGTTTTCTACAGTCACAATTGAACATCTTTGGGGTCTTACATTCAATTCAAACCTCAAGTGGAACCTCATCTATACAATTTGTTGCTCAAGATGCTGCAAAAATGGTCAGCTCCTGCTATCCCTCTAAGAATTACATGCTTCCTTCTGCCATTCTTTGTCATTAGAAGAATCAGGAGAGTTCATTAGATCCAAAATGCAGTATTGCTGCTATGTCTGGGCTGGGTTTCATAGTGTTCAAAATTGTTGATGCCTTTTTGTGGGGGAATGCTTGTTCTCTACTTTGCAGCCTCTCTTCCATATGTGTATTAAGTGAGTTTTAGTGTAAAAATAAAATTTGTATGTATGGTACAATAAGCTGCTGTTTCTTTTTTTTGTTTTTTTTTCTACTTTCATATTTTTTTCTTTACAGCAGCAGAAAAACAAGCACAGCCTCCGCAAAAGAAACGCCGAAAACTTTGTTATGATTTTATAGCGTCATTTGATCAAACAGGTAAATAATAAATTTATATTGATTTATACCTGTTAACTTTTTTTTAAAAAAAATTTAGTCAATGATTCTGCTGGTGTTATTTTGATAGTATGAAAAGAAAGATAAATCATGGATGTTATCAAGCAATAAAAATGGGGTTGGCAGGACATGTATCAAAAAGAAAAAATAACAGGTGAAGCAAAAGGATGCTTGATTAGTTCTCACTGGATAACAAAAACAGTAAATGACCAGATAGAGAACAGAAATAAAATTGAGGGGTCAGAGAATAGCGCAGATATGGTTGGGAAATGTCTGCTCCATCAGTGGACACACATTAGCTGCTGATGATGATAATCAACTCTGGAGTTCATACCAAGCAGAATAAGGTTTTCTGTTTGCCATTTATGTTCACCCAATTCATGCAAACACTGCACATATCTCTTCCTGCTTATCTGAATGAAAATTATGTTGGAAAAATCAAAAGAAAAAGGTTAAATCCATCATCTTATGGTTTTGACATCACCTCCACCTCATACCATAACAATCTAATCACAATCTAAATATTCATCTAAAAAAAATAAATCTCTTAACTATTACTTGCTTACTTTGAATCATGATACTTTGCCCTCCACATGCTTTGACTGACCTTTCAACCATATGATGAACATTCATGAATTTTCTCAAATTTAAAAGCCTTGATAAACCAATGACATCCTTGCTTTTGTATATAAACACATGCAGCAAAATAAATCCTACATTACCTTGATAAAGTCTCTCAGAGTACAAAACATATTGCCTGAGAATAGTTTTTCCTCGTCTCTTTTTATTCACATACAGTGGAGGTGGGACAAATATTCAATGTTTATTCATTAGTTGGAAATACAATAAATTAAAAATTTGTATGTGTACAAATATTTGTTTCCACCCCACCACTGTAAAGTGTGTGTGTATACATAGACACACATTCTGTGCAAGTGTTTTGGTTGTGGTTCTTGTATTGTTTTCAAAAAAAAAAAGAAAAAAAAGGTCAGCCTGGTTATTACTAGAAGCTCATGCTTCTAAGGCAAGCAGTATTTGTGATGAAAGTACTAAATATTAAAAGACAGAGCATTAATAGTAAGAACTATACTTAAAAGTTCAACTTATCTTTCCCAACTCTGAGTTTCACAGAGATAGTATTCACTCATCACCATGCTTGATAGTAAAACTGAATTTATTTTTTATATTAATTCAATTTTCCTATCAAGCCTACTGATGAGTGGATACTATATCTGTGAAACTCTGAGTAGGGACAAGATTCATAAGCATTTAATTTTTATTTGTTTCTTTCTCTCTCTCTCTCTCTCTCTCTATATATATATATATATATATATATATATATATATATATATATATATATATATATATATAATCTTATTAGTCTTTGTAAAATATAACTGCCAAACAAACATTTGATGAAAAAAGCAAATTATTCTGAGAAAACATGATAATATCTTTGCAAGAAGGAATTTCTATTTTCAAGATTCAATTTGGTGTTTTTTTATTTATTTACATTATTCAGACTATTATCCTCATCTTCATTGCCATATTCATGTTTCAGCCATTGTACACTCTGGCCTTGTTCAGGTGATTGGAATTTCAAACTGAATCCCTTATTTCATCCACCGAAGTAGATTGTTCTAGTTCCACATGCTATGACTCTTCCCGCCCTTTAACTCAACTCTCTAAGTTTTTTGGTTAGATCCAGTGACTAGACCCAAAGAGTTGAGAGTTCAATACCAGGCTACAGCAGTGGTGAACCAAAAAAATTGAAGAGTTATAATGTAAATAATCATAATACCTCATCTCAGAGATATAGACAGGTGTCTTTGTTGTTTTTTTGCGATTCCTGTTCTTAAACTACTTTGTTTCTTATGTGTTCTGTATGTAGAATTCTTAAATTTGTTGCAAGAACCACATCTCTTTTACTGCTTTTCTTCATTTGTGATGAAAGTGTCCAACTAATTACTATAGAGAGGATTAGACATGTGTAATGTAAATTTCTTATTACACTTTGCATTGTCTTGTTAGTACAATACTCATGTAGTTAAATTTCCACACTTGCTTGATATTGACATCCCCAGTATGTAACTCTCACCGTGGGCTGCCTCTTTTTCTAATGACCAGGCATTCCATCTTCTTACAGTTATTTATTAGTCCTTTCTTCTTGCTTCCCTCAGCTACCTTGTATAATAGTACTTTCAGTTTTTGTTCTGAATCTGCAATCAATACATTGTTTTTGCTGAATAGTATATGTTAAGATTATATCCACTAATCATAAATTCTTAGAGATTTTCTTGTTATCTTTCTCCACCCAACCGTTTTTTTTTTTTAGATAATAATGATTTTAGTGATACAAATCTTACTAATTAACCCATAGCTGGGGGGAGAAGAGATTCATATGTTTCTCAAGGGTATTTGTGTGTAAGTGAATATAACAAACCCAACTGAAATTAGAACTCAGCTCCATGATTAGCTGTTCCAAGCCATCATCCATTACACCACCAGCAGATCCAAGCTTACAGCACCTTGTATTCCAATGCGGTCACCCATCGAGGTACTGACAAGGGCGGATATTGGTTAACTTTGGTGTTCATATGAGAACCAGTGTTTCAACGTGAAGTGTCCTCATCTTGGGAAAACCAAAGTTTATCCACTATATATGCACATTAGGCAGGTTTCTGAATATTATACATCAGTTTTCTAACATGAATTTTGTATTAAAGGGTGAATTTCTGCATCCGTATAACATTGGCTGTATAAGTTTAGATGTTAATGCACCATATAAATTTTGGAATCTGATTAGCATGCTTTTAGTATTTTCTATTTCACTCTATTTATTAGAGTGAATTTGACGTTTTTTATGAATTCGTTTAGTATTAGATGCATACAATTGATATTTTTTTTTTTTTTTTTTTTGCTCACTCAATACAAGGCCCAAGATCTAATTAAGGTAGTGTTACTGTGTGGAGTTGTATTAGCATAGGAAAAGACAAATGTTAAGAGTATAGAGTTGAAGTAGATTTTAGAAGGAACCAGAAAGCCAATCCTAAACATGAAACAAGGGATAAAACTTTACTCCTACTCAAAAGATTGGGCAGGAGTGTGAACTGGATGATAGGTTCACCTATGATTTGTATTGATTGAATTGCTTTTTTTTTATGGCTTATCAACTACTTTTCTCTCTCTCTTTTCTAGTGAAGCCATTCATTCTCTGTCTCTCTCTTCCAGTGAAGCCATTCATTCTCTGTCTCTCTCTTCCAGTGAAGCCATTCATTCTCTGTCTCTCTCTTCCAGTGAAGCCATTCATTCTCTGTCTCTCTCTTCCAGTGAAGCCATTCATTCTCTGTCTCTCTCTTCCAGTGAAGCCATTCATTCTCTGTCTCTCTCTTCCAGTGAAGCCATTCATTCTCTGTCTCTCTCTCTTCCAGTGAAGCCATTCATTCTCTGTCTCTCTCTCTTCCAGTGAAGCCATTTATTCTCTCTCTCTCTCTTCCAGTGAAGCCATTTATTCTCTGTCTCTCTCTTCCAGTGAAGCCATTCATTTTCTGTCTCTCTCTTCCAGTGAAGCCATTCATTCTCTGTCTCTCTTCCAGTGAAAGACCATTCATTCTCTGTCTCTCTCTTCCAAAAGGCCATTCATTCTCTGTCTCTCTCTTCCAGTGAAGCCATTCATTCTCTGTCTCTCTCTTCAGTGAAGCCATTCATTCTCTGTCTCTCTCTTCCAGTGAAGCCATTCATTCTCTGTCTCTCTCTTCCAGTGAAGCCATTCATTCTGTGATCTCTCTCTTCCAGTGAAGCCATTCATTTCTCTGTCTCTCTCTTCCAGTGAAGCCATTCATTCTCTGTCTCTCTCTTCCAGTGAAGCCATTCATTCTCTGTCTCTCTCTTCCAATGAACCATTCATTCTCTGTCTCTCTCTTCCAGTAAAGCCATTCATTCTCTGTCTCTCTCTTCAGTGATGAGCCATTCATTCTCTGTCTCTCTCTTCCACAAAACCCATTCATTCTCTGTCTCTCTCTTCCAGTGAAGCCATTCATTCTCTGTCTCTTTCTTCCAGTGAAGCCATTCATTCTCTGTCTCTCTCTTCCAGTGAAGCCATTCATTCTCTGTCTCTCTCTTCCAGTGAAGCCATTCATTCTCTGTCTCTCTCTTCCAGTGAAGCCATTCATTCTCTGTCTCTCTCTCTTCCAGTGAAAGCCATTCATTCTCTGTCTCTCTCTTCCAGTGAAGCCATTCATTCTCTGTCTCTCTCTTCCAGTGAACCATTCATTCTCTGTCTCTCTCTTCCAGTGAAGCCATTCATTCTCTGTCTCTCTCTTCTTAGTGAAGCCATTTATTCTCTCTCTCTCTCTTCCAGTGAAGCCATTCATTCTCTGTCTCTCTCTTCCAGTGAAGCCATTCATTCTCTGTCTCTCTCTTCCAGTGAAGCCATTCATTCTCTGTCTCTCTCTTTTGAAGCCATTCATTCTCTGTCTCTCTCTTCAGTAAAGCCATTCATTCTCTCTCTCTCTCTCTTCCAGTGAAGCCATTTATTCTCTCTCTCTCTCTCTTCCAGTGAAGCCATTTATTCTCTCTCTCTCTCTCTTCCAGTGAAGCCATTTATTCTCTCTCTCTCTCTCTTCCATTCTCTCCATTTATTTCTCTCTCTCTCTCTTCCAGTCTCTCCATTTTTTTCTCTCTCTCTCTCTTCCAGTGAATTCCATTTATTCTCTCTCTCTCTCTCTTCCAGTGAAGCCATTTATTCTCTCTCTTCTCTCTCTTCCATTTATTTTCTTCTTATTCTCTCTCTCTCTCTTCCAGTGAAGCCATTTATTCTCTCTCTTCCTCATTTATTCTCTCTCTTCCAGTGAAGCCATTTTTTCTCTTCTCTCTCTCTTCCAGTGAAGCCATTTTTCTCTTCTCTCTCTTCCAGTGAAGCCATTTATTCTCTCTCTCTCTTCCAGTGAAAGCCATTTATTCTCTCTCTTCCAGTGAAGCCATTTATTTTCTCTCTTCCAGTGAAGCCATTTATTCTCTCTCTTCCAGTGAAGCCATTTATTCTCTCTCTTCCAGTGAAGCCATTTATTCTCTCTCTTCCAGTGAAGCCATTTATTCTCTCTCTTCCAGTGAAGCCATTTATTCTCTCTCTTCCAGTGAAGCCTTTTATTCTCTCTCTTCCAGTCTCTTTTTTTTATTCTCTCTCTTCCAGTGACCATTCCATTTATTTCTCTCTCTTCCAGTATTCTCCATTTATTTTCTCTCTCTTCCAGTGAAGCCATTTATTCTCTCTCTTCCAGTGAAGCCATTTATTCTCTCTCTTCCAGTGAAGCCATTTATTCTCTCTCTTCCAGTGAAGCCATTTATTCTCTCTCTTCCAGTGAAATTTTTTTTCTCTCTCTTCCCTGAAGCCATTTATTCTCTCTCTTCCAGTGAAGCCATTTATTCTCTCTCTTCCAGTGAAGCCATTTATTCTCTCTCTTCATTTGAAGCCATTTATTCTCTCTCTTCAGTGAAGCCATTTATTCTCTCTCTTCCAGTGAAGCCATTTATTCTCTCTCTTCCAGTGAAGCCATTTATTCTCTCTCTTCCATTTCTCCATTTATTCTCTCTCTTCCAGTGAAGCCATTTTATTCTCTCTCTTCCAGTGAAGCCATTTATTCTCTCTCTTCCAGTGAAGCCATTTCTTTCTCTCTCTTCCAGTGAAGTCCATTTATTCTCTCTCTTCTTCAGTGAAGCCATTTATTCTCTCTCTTCCAGTGAAGCCATTTATTCTCTCTCTTCCAGTGAAGCCATTTATTCTCTCTCTTCCAGTGAAGCCATTTATTCTCTCTCTTCCAGTGAAGCCATTTATTCTCTCTCTTCCAGTGAACTCCATTTATTCTCTCTCTTCCATTGATTTCCATTTATTCTCTCTCTTCCAGTGAAGCCATTTATTTCTCTCTCTTCCAGTGAAATTTTTATTCTCTCTCTTCCAGTGAAGCCATTTATTCTCTCTCTTCCAGTGAAGCCATTTTTCTCTCTCTTCCTCTCCCTTTTCTCTCCATTTATTCTCTCTCTTCCAAAAAAGCCATTTCTCTCTCTCTTCTTCATCTCCATTTATTCTCTCTCTTCTCCCCTTTCTCTCATTTATTCTCTCTCTTCCAGTTTCCATTTTCTTCTCTCTCTTCCAGTGAACCATTTATTCTCTCTCTTCCAGTGAAGCCATTTATTTCTCTCTCTTCCAGTGAAGCCATTTATTCTCTCTCTTCCAGTGAAGCCATTTATTCTCTCTCTTCCAGTCTTCCATTTATTCTCTCTCTTCCAGTGAAGCCATTTATTCTCTCTCTTCCAGTGAAGCCATTTATTCTCTCTCTTCCAGTCTTCCATTTATTCTCTCTCTTCTTTGAAGCCATTTTCTCTCTCTCTCTTCCAGTGAAGCCATTTATTCTCTCTCTTCCAGTGAAAGCCATTTATTCTCTCTCTTCCAGTGAACCATTTTTTCTCTCTCTCTTCCAGTGAAGCCATTTATTCTCTCTCTTCCAGTAAAGCCATTTTTATTCTCTCTCTCTTCCAGTGAAGCCATTTTTCTCTCTCTTCCAGTGAAGCCATTTATTCTCTCTCTTCCAGTGAAGCCATTTATTCTCTCTCTTCCAGTGAAGCCATTTATTCTCTCTCTTCCAGTGAAGCCATTTATTCTCTCTCTTCCAGTGAAGCCATTTATTCTCTCTCTTCCAGTGAAGCCATTTATTCTCTCTCTTCAGTCCTCTTCATTTATTCTCTCTAGGAAATAAGTGAAGCCATTTATTCTCTCTCTCTCCCTTCCAGTGAAGCTTTTTATTCTCTCTCTTCCAGTCCCATTTATTCTCTCTCTCTTCCAGTGAAGCCATTTATTCTCTCTCTCTCCAGTGAAGCCATTTTATTCTCTCTCTTCCCAAAAAGCCATTTATTTCTCTCTCTCCCAGTGAAGCCATTTATTCTCTCTCTCTCCCAGTGAAGCCATTTATTCTCTCTCTCTCCCAGTGAAGCCATTTATTCTCTCTCTCTCCCAGTGAAGCCATTTATTCTCTCTCTCTCCCAGTGAAGCCATTTATTCTCTCTCTTCCAGTGAAGCCATTCATTCTCTCTCTTTTCTTCTTTAAAAGCCATTTATTCTCTCTCTCTTCCAGTAAAAGCCATTCATCTCTCTCTCTCTCTCTCCCGTTGAACCATTTTTTTTCTTCTCTCTCTCTTCCAGTGAAGCCATTCATTCTTTCTCTCTCTCTCTCTTCCAGTGAAGCCATTTATTCTCTCTCTCTCTCTCTTAATTTATGAAGCCATTCATTTCTCTCTCTCTCTTCCAGTGAAGCCATTCATTCTTCTCTCTCTCTCTTCCAGTGAAGCCATTTATTCTCTCTCTCTCTCTTTCCAGTGAAGCCATTTCATTCTCTCTCTCTTCCAGTGAAGCCATTTATCTCTCTCTCTCTCTCCCAGTTTTTCCATTTATTCTCTCTCTCTCCCAGTGATAGCCATTTCTTCTCTCTCTCTCTCCCAGTGAAGCCATTTATTCTCTCTCTCTCCTTCCCAGTAAAAGCCATTTATTCTCTCTCTCTCTCCTTCCCAGTCAAAATCCATTTATTCTCTCTCTCTTTCCCAGTGAAGCCATTTATATTCTCTCTCTCTCTCTCCCCTCCCATATATAAAATTCAATTTCTCTCTCTCTCTCTCTCTCTTAATATAGCAATATGTTTTTCTCTCTCTCTCTCTCTCTCTCTCCAATATAGCAATTCATCTCTCTCTCTCTCTCTCTCTCTCTCTCAGCCAATATAGCAATTCATTCTCTCTCTCTCTCTCTCTCTCTCTCAGCCAATATAGCAATTCATTCTCTCTCTCTCTCTCTCTCTCTCTCTCAGCCAATATAGCAATTCATTCTCTCTCTCTCTCTCTCTCTCTCAGCCAATGTCTCTCCCTTCTCTTGCTATCCTCTTCTTAATTTTCATTTTTTATTTCCTGTTGAGTGCCGATTATCTTCTTCGTTAATGTTACTCCCACCCATTTAATTAGTATTCCTTAGAAACCAAGGAAAATTGTGCTGTAGATGTGAAGGGATGCCAGCTTCTGTAAAGTCTGAAAATATCAGTACATTTTCTTTCATGCTTTCATACCTACATCCCCACCCCGCCCCCTAACCATTCTGTGGCTGCTGGGGAAGATGACATCTGGGGAAGAAGTTCCATGTTGTGGTATTGTGGTTTTTCGGCAAAATCCAACCAACACCTTATGCTTTTTCACTCACAGACTCACAGAGGGTGGTGCCATGTTTACATAAGGGGAGATTTGAAGTAGAGGGGGACGATTGGCAGGAACTATGAAATGTTTACTTTCACTTAGTGCATACCCCTGATGTTTATTGTACCCCTACCCAAACTCCACTCTACTCTGCATTTGTGTGTGTGTGTGTGTGTGTGTGTGTGTGTGTGTGTGTGGTGGAATGAGGTGCACTATAAACTTGACAAAGTACACCCATTGGTCACCGCACACTCGGTGCACTAATTAAGGTGCCAGTTGTGTTTGGTGCATATAATCATAAATGGTTTCACAGATGTATAGATAGAGGAGTGGGTATATGGGTATGTAAATGGGGTGATGAATATGCCCTGCTGTGGCTTGTATGGTGGAGAAGGAGAAACCTAATGGTGTGGGGGAGGTAATAATTCGGCTACTTGTTTTACGTCTCTTCTTCCTACACTTCTAGATTGTCAACTTTATGCAAGTATCATTGTTACACTTGTAAAACGGATGTTGCACATTGCAGTGATGTGTCTGGCATGTGCAGTTAGGCACTGAATGAAGCGTGTTTTGGTTAATGAGCTGTGCATGATTAATTTTAACCCTTTGCTGCAAACAACTCTGCACTTGCTGGGCAGATGGTACATGGTTGAAGTTTAAGAATCAGGTTTCCAGTTCAATTCTCCATGTTGGAGCCTTGAGCAGAATGAACACATGATTAACTTCACCTTTTTCTAAATTATCATCTGTCAGGAGTTTTGAAATCAGTTTTTTGGTTAAAATTCCGGAACTGGATTCTGGTTTCTGAACTTTGACCAACAGAAATGTATATAAACCAAAATGCATTCCCTTCCTCTTTCTTGCATATGCCTGCTCTCCCTTTCACATGCATGCATGCACACATACACACACACACACACACACACACTCTCTCTCTCTCTATCATACATGCATGCACACACACACACACACACTCTCTCTCTCTCTCTCTATCATACATGCATGCACACACACACACACGCACACACACATGCACACACTCTGTTTGTCATTGACACACACATACACACACACTCTCTCTCTACCTGTCGTGCAAACACACACACTATACTCTCTGTCGTGCACACACACATTCCTCTCTCTGAAATGCACACACACTCTCTCTGTATGCACACACACACACACACTCTGTCTGATGCTGTATACACACACACACACCTCTCTGGACTATTTGGTTTCACACACTCTCTCTCTGTGCACACACACCTTCTCTCTCTCCTCCTGCACACACATCCACTCTGTCGTGCATGCACTATCTCTCTCTGTCATTCATACACACACACTCCCCATATATATATATATATATATATATACACACACACACACACATGCACTCTCTCTGTCTTGAACATACACACACACTCTTTCTTTCTCTGTATTGTTTTCCTTTGACTTTTTCTCACTTGTTTGTCAAGATTTCTCTTATCTAAACTTTAATTTGCTACCCTTTCTCTCAAGAATATCCAATATTTATCTTAGTCTGTCACAAGGCTACAAATCGTAGGTTCTCTCCCTGCTTTTTCTTCCCACTCCTCCTTATGCCCTCCTCTTGTTATTCAGCTAAATGCATCACACGTATTTGCAAACATAACATCTTTACTTTTATGAGAACACTTGAAAACTTCATTGACATTGAAATCATTACCCTCCACCCCGCCGTCACCAGCTTTACACTAAATTGCCTCTGTACCGTCTGCACCAATTGGCCCTGCGTACATGTTCCCAATTTGTGCCTAATGTATTTTCCAAGTGTCTCTCCTAAATTCTACCTACTATCTCCTCCTCTTCTTCCACCTTCAGTATATTCTCTACACACATAATTTCACATAAATCTATTCAGGCTTTCATGTGGGATTATATATCATTCTCTCAAAGATTTATACATAAGTTTTAGTAGTCATATGCTTATACAGGGTGCGATGGATAAATTGTCGTCTGAATTATGCAAAAATTAAAATAACACTGACATCTCATTTTAACAAATATATTTACCAAAATTACACAAAAATATCTCGATATACTAAAGACAAAATTTATTCAATAGAATCACCATTGGCTTTAACCACAGTTTCCAGACAACTTTGGAATCTCCTGCAACTATTCTGAATGGTCTCCTTGTTTAAGTTAGTGAATGCTGCCATAATCCTTGCCTTCAGTTCATCTTTGGTATTACAAAAAGTTTTGCTGATCTCTTGCTCAACTGTGTGTCACCCATAATAATGAAGGGTATTGCAGTCTGGGGAGTTATGTAGCCATATGTAAGGGGTGATGTGGTTGCAGAAATTGTCTCACAGCTATGGGTTCTCCTGCTTGTGTGCATGATGAAAAGTCCTGTTACCATAGTCTTCCAGGTGCCAACACTGCTTCCTCAAGGCATATGATGTAGGCCTCTGTGTTGAATCTGAGGCTTTGTGGGAAAATGAATGGAGGTATAACATTGCCATCACTAGTAATCACTCCAAACACCTTCGTAATCGCCATTAGACTCACTCATCCAACTCTTTCTGAATCCTCTGCACTGTCCTCAGATTGACACCCAAACACTCTGAAATGTTTGTATTGGAGCTTCCGGCACGACTGCCAAGCAGTACAGCATGCAGTTTCCAAATTTCTGGCAGAGTAAATAGTGTCTGTTTTTCTCACAGACAGTGCCCAACTGACCCTACAATACTGTGCAGTTGACAAAATCAAAAACAGCACACATGCATGAAATTAAAAATATAAAATGGCGACAATTTACCAATCGCATCCTGTATAGACATGAACTCTAGCCATAAGGCTGAAGAATTAAAAAAAAAAAATTACTCAATTACAAAAATGTAGAATACATATTTTTTAATTTTATTTTTATTAATACCTTGTTATTTGATTCTAACTTTGCCTAATCATAATGACTGTCATATTATCTCTGAAGTTAAGCAGCATTGAGCCTGGTCAGTACTTAGATGGGTGACCACTTGGGAATACCAGGTGCTGTAAGCTTGGATGCGCAGGTGATGCAATGGGTAATGACTGAGAATTGTTAATTGGTGAGCTGAGTTCCAATTCCTGTTCAGTTGATTATGTTCACTTACCCACAAATCCCCTTTGGGAAAGTTATGAATCACTTCCTCTCCCCGGCTATATATCACTAAACGATTATATCACAAAAATAAAAATCTTACATTTCTAAAAATGAGATATGGAATCTGTATCTTGGAATCTCATGTCTCTCAAAAATGTCTAAACCAAATAGCAAGCTATTATTTGAAGCATTGCAAATGTTACCTTTCTTTGTCAGATTGCCTGTTGGCTCAGATGCGACAAAGCTATGAGATTGAAATTGTAAAAAAAAAAAACACATATGAAGAGCAATAATTATTTACACTATTTACATATGGACTATTGTCCTCATCTTTGATTTTGTTATCACAACATTTCGAACACTTTGCCTGCCGACCTTCATCAGTTTGGTGACATAGTAATTGTGAGTTCAATCCCTCAGCCAAGCATTGGAAACAGGGCGAGGGATAACTGAGTGGTGCTAAATAAGAACTAATCGAGATATCCTAATATTTTGACAGCAGCACGAGAATAGTCTATCCCCATAGATTAAATTAAGGATTCAAGTTCAGAATTCCCTGTATGTTATCTAAATCAATAGACACCTGATGAAGACCGGAGGACAAAATGGGCAAAACGTTGTGATAACAACAAAGATGAGGACAACAGTCAAAATGTAAATAATGATAACTCCTCATTCCAAAAATCCAAACCAAAACAAAAATAAAGGGAAAAATGTTAATTCTTTAGTTAACTTTGATCAATGACAATGACCCCCACCATATTGTTGAATCTGCTCTTTAAAATATTCAGGGATAATCCAATGAAATTGTAAAACAACTAATCCAAGGCAGTGTATTGGATTATTTTTGCTCAGTTGTAATAATCCCCTCATCTATATCTTGGAATTTTCTTTCTCTCAGAATTAAGGCATTATTTAAATCCTTTCTTTGTCAAATTTTTTCCATTGGCTCAGATGCGACAAAACTATAAGATTGAAATTGTAAAAAAAATACACTCAAAGGGAGAAATTGTGCTTAAGTGGTGTGTGCCTTCTCCAATATCTTAGAACTTTTATGTCTTGTTTTAAACAAAAACAAACATTTTTATATTCACTTCTCTTCCTCAATAAATTTGTTTCAACAATGGAAATCTCAGATAGGACTGAAAGTTGCCTCAAGCAACACATGACTTTATACAGATCAAAGCACCAATTAGAATCCAATTTCATTATTTCTTTTAATTTGAAATATCTGGTTAAATGTTCTTTATAAAAAAATTAATGTTTGCTATTTGTTTAGATTACTTGATTTACTATTGAAATCCACATCTGGTAAATTAAATATATGAATGATAATTGAAATTAAACCAACTTTGACTTTATTTCAACTTTTATTCTTATCTTGATATTTATTATAGATTGATTGATTTGTTCAATAACATTTCAACTTTTAATGGGTCATTTGTTGCCGAAATTTAATTTTCTTTGGAGCTTCAAAGCAATAAAGATATGTTATGTTTTTCTGCTTCCACAATTGCATACATGGTAGATGATATTCAGCTTTTTTGCATATGCACTACAGTTAGAATGGAATGAACTTGACAGAAGAGTGAAAAAAATGAAAAAGAGCTTTTAGTCATTGAAAAAAAGAATAGAATCAATTTTCAAACTTATACTTTGAGAAACTTTTGCAATGAATGCCAAAAATTTGTGCTGCAGTAATCAAGGCTAAAGGAGGCTATTTTGACAAGAGCAAAATTTAATCATAAAATGCTTTTTTTTCTTTTTTTGTCAGTAAAATTTTTAATAAAAGTAATGTCTCACTTTTTAAACCAAGTATAATTTACTCTTATTTAAAGTACAAAACAACTACTTCTGAAAAAAATTATCAGGGGTGGCTTCAAACTTTTGGACTGTATTGTACATGTTTGTTGGTTGATTGATTTTCTTTAGCAGCATATCAACACCTCTATGGGTTATTTAATGCTGAAATCTAAATATTTTGTACATTATTTTATACTTTCATCATAAAAGGTACATTTTTATTAGATATATAGTTGATCATAAAATGTATTGCTGGTAATTTCACTACATAAATGTATTGTTAGTAATTTTTTTTATAAAAAAAATCTATTGTTGCTAATTTTACTACAAAAATGGACTGTTGATTTTTGTTGGGGAGGGGTCATTATTTGCACATAGCTGGGACCCTTGCAGGTACGACCACACAGGTCAAGATGGACCTGGGAACAACAGCAGCAGCTAAGAGGGGTGGTTTCATTCTCATCAAAACCTCCAATCTCCTGTTCAGTGGCTTTGGGATGTAGTTTATCGTCATACCCAGGATAAAGTCATCATAGACATTTCGGCCATCTTCAGATGTCCATTACCATAGTATAGTATTTCATTACCAAAGAACATTAGTATGAATAAATCTGATTAGTCAAAGCATATTGACAATTTCTCATCTCTAAAATAAAGACGCGAGTTTAAAGTCATAAGATTTTTTTTCAATTTTGAGATATGATTTATTTCTGTATTTATGAACACAATAAAAAAGAATTTTGGTAGGTAGTAATTTTTAGGTATTTTTTTTTTCTGATGCCTCCTTATGAATCATCCACTGGTCGTCTGCTGTCATGCAACATCCCTGGAATTGTGATTCCATTGCCTTGATATCTTGATGTCAGGGGGAAAATCCCCAATGTATATCCAAAAAGTGAACTTTGTGATCCTTACTGGAACCCAAGTATTTATTTCCATCTTAATGATAAGTCTGATATATTCAAAAATCCCCACCTCTCACCAAACAAGCAAAGAGTCCTGTTAAGAGAAAGAGGGTTTATGCCTATTCCTTTTATAACTCTGGATACAACGACACCTAGCAGGCATCCTGGTAGATAAGTTGAGGTAATCTCCTCAAATCCCAAATAGGCATATTTCCACATAAGAAAAAAAGAAAGATCTGAACTGTTCACACAAACTCTATATGATAATGTCACAATAATATTCTAATTTATCTGTCAAGAAAAATTATATTATTAACCAATATAACTACATTTTTAATAAATCATCATTATTTTATGACATCAGACAGTGTCACACTAACCATTTCCAACTGCTAAACATGTTGCTTCCATTTGACATGACTTATCACTATGTTGTGTTCCAATTATACTCTAGAATGTGTGGGTGGGATAATGGATAGAAGCTCTGAATTAAAAATCAGAGAGCTGAGTTTTAATTTCAGTCCAGTTTATTACATTCACTTATGCGCAAATGCCATCGGGAAAGGCATAAATATGTATTCCCCCATCTATGGGTTAAATAAGATTTGTATCTGGAAAAATAATTGTTGTTTTCAAAAAATTGTTAATGTAATATTCACTTGGAAAGAAAAATAGAGAAAGAATTATTCATCCAATCCAAAATATGTTTCAATATTTTTTCACTGTCTGTGAAAAATAATCCACATCTTACCATTCCATCTCTAGGAATCAAACTATGGCTAACAGTCTGTTGCTTCAACTGCTAATCCAAATTTGAATTCTCCATTTATTGCCGTGAAAGTTTAAAGCAGAATATGTTTGAAATATTTTACCTGTTTTAAATTAAAGTGCCCAATCCTCACTTTCCTACCTTGACATTGTTCAAAAGTGTCTATGCAGTCTTGTGGGTGATTATTTTCCACCCTACAACAAGTTTACCCCATAGACAAAATATCAGAAACCTCTTGTTACTCTATTACCATTTCCATGGAAAATGTTCTAAGAAGCTACAGTTCCTTAGTTCTACCAGTTCAGACTTTTACAGCTGAGACCCTCCAAGCCACCTACACTTGGATAAATCATCCTCATTCTTTCTATATTCCATTAGTAAGAAAGAAGTTCCATTCAAACAGCTTCTTCCCAAGAACTGCTACTTTGTACTACAGACTCCTGAGAGGATACTTCTTATAATTGCTAGCTCAGAATATGAAATAGGAGAGTTGATTTTTGAATTCTATTCTGGTTCATTATATTAACTGACATACAAATAGTCTTTGAAAGGTATGGATCCATCTCCCCTTCAGCTATGGGTTAAATAGTAGGATTTGTATCTGGAAAAATCATTATTCTCAAACAAATTGTTAATGCAATATTCACTTGCAAAAAAAAATGATTATTATTGCAATGGCTTTAAATAACTTGCAAAGAGTTGACAAGCCAAAAAATAAAAATACACAAACAAAATTAAACTTTTCAAGACTAGGGTTAACTATTATCTATCCTACATATCCTCATGATCAACACTTCTTGCTTCCTCCTTTTATGTCTATACAACAATCTCATTCAATAACCCTCTCTATCTTGAGTGGCTCTTGAGTCTTATATTGGTAAGTAAAAGAAATAACCTACAAAGTGTTAATAAGCTGTAAAAAGAAAAATCTAGATAGCTAGTTTATTGATAAAATAACTGTTGGTTTAAATATGGATTTAATATTAGAAAGTACTAAATTCAAATATACACTCAAATAAACTATCCTTATGTATTGTGTAAACATTATGTGAATGAGAAAAATTAATTTCATTTTTTTTTTAATTCAGTGTCCCCAGATTTTATAAATATCCCTTGAAGTAACCCAAATGAGTCTTGTTCAATGTCTAGTTGGGTAATGGATTCGAATTACATAACTGAATTTCATAAATCCAGAATTAATCTCAAAATCAAATAAAGGTCAGCAAGTATTTTTATTTGCATCCTCAAGACAGGTCTTGGTATTTATATTATAAACTCCAATACTTCATACTGGGCAAAGCCAGATATGGCAAGGAATTCTTTGAGACATAAAGTGAATGTCTACCTAAGAAAAAAATCGCCATTCAAAATTTGGGTTCAGATTCTGAAGATCGCCACTGATATGAGTTATGTAGACCTATCTCAATGTGACAGCCTGGGGTAATGGTTAACAAAGCTGGTGGTTGATTATTACACCTGAGTAGTCATTTCAATCCTCATTGGGTACCCTATACAAAATTCAGCATTAAGTAACCTGACAAGGGTTGACATGTCGTAAAATCAATCATCCTAACCTCACTCGACAGCTGACTTCACATTGTACTTGCTTTACTGAATGTCATCTTGTCATACATTTTTCATGCGTGCTTTTGAATTTTTTTTCTTCTTAAGCCATTAATGGCTAACATTTTATTTATAAATTCTTAGGTTGTTTTGTCTTTAGAACCATCTGCATCTTCCTGAAACGCGTTGATGCCATAGCCACCTGAAATGATGTCAATAACTCACCACAGGCTATGTTTTCTGTGCTTTGAAAGAGAAATGATTTTTATGCAGACAAACCTAAACCTTTGAACTTTCTACTTTGACATTTACTTGTATCCTTGATAAACAACTTTCTCTTTCTTTGTTTTTTTTTTCTTCTCTTTCTTTGTTTTTTTTTTCTTCTCTTTCTTTGTTTTTTTTTCTTCTCTTTTTTTTTTTTTTTTTTCTCTTTGTTTTTTTTTTTTTTTTCTTTTTTTTTTTTTTTTTCTCTTTCTTTTTTTTTTTTTTTTTCTTTGTTTTTTTTTTTTCTTTTTTTTTTTTTTTTTTTCTTTTCTTTGTTTTTTTTTTGTTCTTTTTTTTTTTTTTCTTCTTTTTTTTTGTTTTTTTTTAATCAATTTTTTTTTTTCTTTCTTTCTTTGTTTTTTCTTCTCTTTTTTTTTTTTTCTTCTCTTTCTTTTTTTTTTTTCTTTTCTTCTTCTCTTTTTTTTTTTCTTTTTTCTTTGTTTTTTTTTTTTTTTCTCTTTGTTTTTTTTTTTTTCTTTCTTTTTTTTTTTTTTTCTTTTCTTTTTTTTTTTTTCTTTTTTCAGAATTTTTTTTTTTCTTTTTTTTTTTTTTTCTTCTCTTTCTTTTTTTTTTTTTTCTTCTCTTTCTTTGTTTTTTTTTCTTCTCTTTCTTTGTTTTTTTTTCTTCTCTTTCTTTGTTTTTTTTTCTTCTCTTTTCTTTCCTTTCTCAGTACATGTGTTTTTTATATTCAGGGTTGATTTTTTTTTCTTCCCTTTGTAGCAACCTAGTAATTAAATTGAAACCTCTTACTCTTTCACAACTATAGTTTTGTTTGCATGGAAGTGCTGAAAAATTCTAGACCCAGTCTATGTTTTTAAAAATGATTAATTAATGACCAATATATTGGATTTTAATTTGGGGGAATCTGTCAGTTTTTTCTACTATAAAAGATAACCCCCTCATATGTTATGTAATAAAACTTCTTACAGTGGCAAGAGAAACATAAAGTTAGAATAAAAAAAAAAGCTTTATATTCTTTAATAGTCTTGACACTTCTAAAAACATATCCATGAAAAAGTGTTTTTATTTAATGGAATTCACTTGTTAAAACCATAAAAAAAAACTAAAGATACAAGGAGTGAAATAGAATGAGGAGACTTTAGTGAGGTGAGAATAGAAGATGGAAATTGGTGGTGCATTTAAATTTTTTGAAAATTGTAGCAGACAGGCAAGCAAGAAATCAGAAGAGAGTTCCACAAGCAAGAAATGAGATAAAAGAAAATATTAGAATAGAACATATGATTACATCTAGCTATTTCAATAGTAGAACAATATGACCTATTTGCTAATCTAGTACTTAAATTTATGCAATCCAAGATACCGTGGAGGAGAGCTGAATGATTAGCATGAAAATATTTATAGAAAAGACAGAGAGAAGCCACAAGGGAAAGAGACGGAAATCAAGGTACCAGGTCAGCACCGATAACATAACAGATCTTTGCAACAAATTTTAAGATATATGACAAAAACACCAGACCAGATATAAATTTTAATATATTTAAATATATATATATATATATATATATATATATATATGGGGAAGCAATCTTCCTTTTATACATGTTTCATTGATGTTGACTGACAAGGAAAGTTTTATAAGGTTTTATTCAGTCCTTCTAATGTTCTTACAGTTATCCTTTTATGACAACAACTGAGATAACCTAGAAATTGTCCATAGTGGTGATTGTCTCAAGCGCTTTTGACTAGTTCATTAGTCATTTTTCAAGGGTTTTGTTTTTAGTATGTTTTCAATGTTTGTGTATTGTGTCAAAATAGCAGTAATTCTAAGCCCTGCTAGATGGAATTAGTAGTTGTACCACATTGGGGCGGGGGTTAAAAGACAACCAACATGCTCTTTCCATTCTCAAATAGGGTAAGCTGATTCTGTTTAAAAAGTTTTACATAAATAGCTTCAATTATCTTAAGATGTCTTTTACAATTAGATGTTCTTAGAATTACATTGTTATCTACAAGAATTGCTCTTATTGCTTATGGGTGTTTATTGTTTGATGATACCAACATATATCAATTAAATTTATTTTTTTATTATACAACATAATAAACAGAAAATATATATATATATAAATATATATATATATAATCACCTGGACAGACTGTTTAAACTGTTTCACATCTAGAAAGCGTTTTTAAATGTCCGATGGCAAAAAAAAAAATATGTGATGTATTTAGACATTATTGTGATACTTTTTTTATACTGATCTTTTCCAGTTGTCTAATCAGTTACTTGATATTGAGATGAAATTAGGTTAAAAAAAATTAGGGTGCCTTGATAGACTCAGTATATTATCTAGTCAGTGAAAGGACTTACCAAAGCATCAATTCTGTATCGGTCAAAATTAATAATCATTTTATAATATTCAAAATCATTTGAATCATTTATTCAATGAAACATATACATATTTAGACAGCATTCAAGCATGTTTCATTAAATATTATAAACATGTATATTTATTTTTATAATAATCCTTTCTAGTTCTCTAATTATCATCTTGATAAGTTGAAATTCATCAAGGAAGGTGCCATATTTTTTGTTAACCCAAGTACTTTCCATTTCCTCCAAGATCATTCACAGGGACTAATTGCTAAGACAAACTTAATGTAACTGGTGATTTTTGTAAATATACTTGAATGCATTCTGTTATTTTAAAATTAACTGTTGTGATTATGATGTTGTGTAAACAAGTGTTCATATTGCAAGGGAAGTAACCAGCGATTGAAAAATGCAACATGGCATTAAATGTTAGTCAACTCAAACATGCCTGAATAATCTCCAATAAAGAAATTGTTAGCCAACTTTTTGACTTCAGATTCATGTAAACTTGAAGCTTTTCTCATATTTTCCATTTTCTTTTCAGGAGAATTGCTGATGTTGTTTGAGGATGACAGTGTGGATGAAGTCAAGCATGAAAGACTTATGGTAACACAGCACTTTTCTTTTTTAGAAAATCTGTTTAATTTGCCTAATTTTGCTTCTCTTGCTTTATCAATATCAGTAACAAATTTATTCTTTCACCAAAGTTCCTTATGTGTCTCAAACTTGGTATGCTGTTATCTAGTCACTGAAAGGAGAACTTACTGAAGCATCAATTCTGCATCAGTCAAAATTAATAATTATTTTATAATGTTCAAAAACATTTGAATCACGTATTGAGCTTTTTGTTAATTAAATATTCAGATTTATTACACATTTGTGATTTATAGGTGCTGGGAACCCACTGCTTCTGAGAGATCATTTATGGATATGTAGAGGGATAAAATTGTGGAAAAATGAAAGATGGGCAAATATATACATTTTTTGTTTGCAAAAAACAGAGTAATCATGTTTTTTTTTTTTCCCCCCTTGACACTGCTGTTATTTTAACTACCTTCACTCCTCAGCAATGTTTATTGTCTTAAAAAGCAATATATAGAATTGGAATAAAACCTAAACATATGATGAAAGTGAATTTATTTATTTTTAATTTTGAGAATCTAACAAAAAAAAAAACTATTTAAATTAAATTGTTTATTTACAAGAATAATTTTATATTTACAACATTCTAAAAACTAATACAATTAAAATTAATGTAATGCAATATTTATCATTTGCCAATTTATAAAGAAATAAATTTGAAAACAATTTTTTATTCATAAATTTATAAATATTTACTAAATTATTAAAATATGTGAACCAACAAAAAGGAAATACTTATTTACCATTTTATAAAGTTTGAATTAATTGGCAATTAGCTGATGATTACCAACCATTTCAATAAATAATATAATAAATAGTGTTTATATTTCTCAAGTACAAAGGAATGTATAAATTCACTTTCATATGTTTAAGTTTTATTCCAGTTCTAATCATCACTTTTTAAAACAAACATAAATGAAGGATGTTAAAATAATAGCAGTGTCAAAGGAAAAAACTGTTCTTTTGACAGTCCATCTTACAGTGGGCACATTTGTCCATGTTTGCTGAAAGATAAAACACTGCCATAAATTTACGAAATTTATTTATTGTATTTTTTTAAATATTCATAAACAGTTTGGTAGAATTACAAACATCAAAATAAGACATGAAATATCCTCGGTCCTTTGACAATTCAAATGTCAAATAGTGTTTTCTTTTTTATCTACGTTTTAAAGAGTCTTACTTTTGTGTATGAGAGTTTTTAATATACAACATTATTTATATTGAAAGTGTATATGCATATGAATAAAGACAAAGGGAAAACTTTTCTTTACCAATGCGTTTCATCCTCTGATAGACTTTATCAAGGCAAATGTAAGGATTTTATTTTGTATTTATAAACAGAGGTAAAAAAAATATTGTTAGATTTTCAAAATTTTAAAATTTCAGAACACTCAAAAATATTCTTATGACGGATTAACAAAATTCTTGATCATTGTTCACCAAATGTTAAAATTTGACCTCTTTAAATTTCAAAGATCTGTTAATATCTTGCAAGAGATTTAAGTCGTTGTCACTGAATAAGAAAGAAAAGTGTTATGGAAAATGGGTTTATTGGATAACGATAGTTTGAAAGGGATATCGTAAAATAGTATTTTTGTTTTCGCTTTTCAATATCGTCGACCTTTTTTATCAAATAAGATTAACCAAGTTAGAAAAAAGACCACAAATATATAGTATCTCTTAGTGACCAAATTAGCTCTAATGATAATACAAGCTTCATAGTCACGATACGTCGTTAATCTTAACAAGAAAGATAACTCTGTTATCGTTTTATTTGGTTATTCCCCTTGAATTTAATATGGCTTCGCATTTTGAATAATTTTTAGTTATCTTGAACAGGGGAAGTAACTCTATATGTCCTCAGTTGCCTTCCTTTGTTGTGTGTTGCTGGATAAAAAATGGTATTAAAACTAGTCCATATTTACTGATGGAGCATCCTACACATATTCAACTGTGGAATCTATAACACCTGACCAATAAAATGCATGAAGAAAGTCTTTTGTTTCTAAGTTGTGACTATTTTTGAAAACGCTACACATGGACACAAATGGTATTTGAATATATATTTATGTATGTATATGTTAGTACGTTTATATATGTATTTGGTTGAGTGTTGTTGTATTTATATGTATGCATGTATATATTGGTAGTTGTTATTATAGATAGATATATTTATATATATGTTTATTTGTAGATATGTATGTATGTGTGTATATATATTTATGTATGTTTGTGGATGTATATGTGTGTGTTGGCAAATATATTATATGAGTATATTTGTTATTGTGCATGTGTACTATTTATCATATATATATATAAAATATATGTATATATATGTTTATGTTTATATATTTATATATGTATTTCTGTATGTATATGTATGTATGAGTGTATGTTTATGTATGTTTATTTGTGTTTTTTGAATTTTAAAATGTATATATATATATATATATATATATATATATATATATATATATATATATATATATATTATTTCTGTGGGTTTCTTTATCCTGTTTTTTCTTTTTGCCTAATATATAATGAAACTATTATCAACTTATATGATTAAAATATATTTTTATTGATATTTGTGGTTTTGGAATTTTCGTTTTAATATATTAAATAATATTATTTTTAACCATTTTTATCTTTGTATATTTGCTCCCTTAAGTTATAATTTAATAAGTGGTTAGCATTTATTTAATGATACTTTAAGTCTTAAATATTTATTGGTTGTGGTATCTGATTGTCTAGGTCATTGTCTGTGGATGTGTGTACGTGTATATATCGGTGTCTGTGTATGTAGAGTGTATTCACATTTAATTGTGTGTGTGTGTGTATAGGTGTTAGTTTCCCCGTTTCCTTTTTTCATAAAGGGTTGTAGTGATTTTCCTGTCTCGTCGCTTTTTTTTTTTCCCCCTTTTGTTGTTGTGTGTATATATATATATATATATATATATATAAATATGTATATGCTTATGTATTATAATCTGATTGTATTTTTGTTGTTTTCGTGTGAGTTTAAGACCACATTCACAAAAATTTTAGAATAAAAAAAAAATATATACATGTATTGTCAAATGACCGGATATATTGTAGCGTCTTGTCAAACATAATTTCAATGAAGAAATAAATTGAATAAACATATATTTTTTCTTTTCTCAATAATTTTGTAGTTTTTAAACTTAATAGTGATTAATAGTGGATTTTAAAATTGCCAGTTTTTAATTTTAATATTAAATTTTATCATATAATTTTATAATTATTGGTTAGTATAAATTATTTTTAATATTACACGTATTTTAAAGATCTGAATAGCTATTATAACATGATTTCGTTGTCAAGCTTTTGAATCTTCCTATACTTGGGTTTTGATTGGTCATTCTAGCTTTTGTAACAATGTTTCCCCCTAGCGAAGGATCGTTAATTAATCTGAAACTTTTAAAACCATTTATTTTATCTTCAACATCATCACTTGATAAGACACAGAGTGTGTTGAAACAAAATGGCTATTTTGTAGTGATTTTATAACATACTTATGTTATAATTTTTTTTTTATAAATATATATATATATATATATATATATATATATATATATATATATATATATATATATATATATATATATGATATATATATATGTTTTAATATGAATCTTTTCTCTATTTGTTATTAGTTTCTATTTATGCATGTTGATTTTACAGTCAGTAAAATTTCATTTACTTTTTTCTTTGGTAGCGAGCAGAGCTGCTGTCGCGCAACATGGACCCACAGCAATATCGAGAATTTTGTGAATCTCGCCAGGTTAACTTTTGTAAGTATGACTGATGATTTTGTTTTTTTTTATTCTTCTTCTCCTTACTTTTAATTATTATTTTGTTTGTTCCTTTACATCAGAACACTTTTAGTTGATATTCTTCAACTGATATCTTTACACTGTTTTTGATTTCATGCTCATAATTGTTAACGATTGTGTTAGAAAAGAAAATACAACAAGATGAAGAAAAAATTCAAAGATTTTTTCTCTTATATTTTTAATTGTAAATTTTGTACTTTTTATGAAGCCTTGAAATTTTGCACCTTTTCCAAACCCTTGAAATTTTATGCCTTTTTCAAACCCTTGATGGTGACTTTAAAAAAACAAATTATTGAATCCATCATTAAGTTCATAAAAGAAAACAAGTAAATTATTACATTTTGTTGTCAGATTTGATTAGTATAACGTTTTGTATATATAAAAAAAAAAACCCTCAAAATTCAAATAAGTCCAAAAATATTGGTAATACCTTTATAAGATTACCATTCATCCATACATTGAATATTGTTGTAAGTGAGTTATCAAACACAACCGTAGAATTGGTTTAACAAGAAGTTTATTACCCTTTGGTACAGGGAAACATAATGTAGAATAGAAACTAAAGAAGAAAATGTATAACCGTGAATAACTGTTTTCAGCAAAGGCTACTGCTGCTGCTACTCCTCTTGATGTAGGAGTATTTATATGTCTTTTATCCAACAACCAAGTCCAAACTTGTAGGGAAATATTCTCCCTCACAACAATATTGCTGCTACATCTGGTCTGGTGTTTCTGCTATGTATTTAGAGATTCTTGATAAAATTCAAAGAATGCCACTGGCCCTAACCTGGCATCTCAGCTTCAATTATTTTCCCACCACTATAACGTAGCTTCTCTGTGCCCTTTCTATAAATATTTTCATAGCAGTTTTTCTGATAAGCTTTCTTTTTTGGTACTTCCACTTCATGAATTTCAATGTAGTACAAGATTAGCAACAAGGTCTCATCATTTTACTGTTGAAATTGCTAAGTGTAAGTTCTATGCTAATGGTTCCTTCTCTTGCACCTCTTGCCTGTTGAACTTGCCTGTTCAACTAAAATCAATGCAACACCAATTATCATCCTCTTTCTCCTTGAATCCTCTCCTTTTTATTGTCCTCTCTCTACTCAATAGTGTTCTCTCAGTTTCTTTCACTCTCAGTAACCCTTGTGACTTAGTGGCTTTATCACCTTGCTTGGGATAAAAAAAAAACAAATTTGTGTCACAGTGTGCCTATTTGATATGGCTCATTTGGCATACCACAGTTATTTGTCATGTCATACCTTTTTGTTATGGCACACCTATTTGTCACAGAATATTTATTTGGTACAGTAGACCTTTTTTTGGTGAGGCACATTTATATAGCTTGGCACACTTATGTTCCTAATAATTTTCTGCTGTATGATTATTTTGTTCCACATTTATTTAACTTTTATAAAAATCCACAATGGTAAGTTTAATCAAAATGGCTCACCTATTTTATAAGTTGAAAGATTTCCATCAGTGTGACTTTTTGAGGCAACACTTGTATTTGTTACACAAAAGTAATATATGCATGCATAATTTTATATCTATATGCAAATCTGAATTTTTAACAAGCATAAATAAGCAGTTATCTTACTCTGCTTCTATGTGTCATGTCCTTTCAGGACGTGGGTGATCATGGCCCTCCACAATTTCTTGTTCTTTGTAGGTCTTAATAAATTTTGTCTTTTTGCTATCTCTCTTAATCCCTGTTCTGCCAAACAATTACACAAGCTCCTCTTTCTTCTATGTCTTTTATTCCTTCAGAATGTGGGTGATCATGGCTCTCCACAACTTCTTGTCCTTTTCTTGTTAGGTAGGTGATCATGTCTCTCAACAACAACATATTCTTTGCACTTCTAAGCAGTGTTTATCTTTTTACTATACCTTCTCCCTCTCTCTCTCTGCTGTCCATTTACACAAGCTTATTAGGTAGGTTACTCACTACTTTCCTTTGTCCCTAGTGAATGTAAATACTGTTGAAAGGTTCATGATCTGACACTTTTGGATCTTTTATTAAATCAGAGAAGCAAAATATTTACACACACACGCACACACACAATCCGTCATTTCTGTATTTATCTTATTTTTATTTTCAGCACGACGATACAAATCACAGCGATTCAAAGATTGGCTCATGACTGGTGTATCAGTCGACCCTAAACCTAACCCCCTGGCTTTAGAGATGTTCAGCTATCTAGCTTATGAGACTGTTGCACAGGTAAGTTGTTTAAGAGAATATTTTAATGACTGTGCCATGTATTCTGTTTTTTTTTTTCTTTTGTCTATTTGTTTCTCTTCTTTTCTTTCCCTTAACTTTTGCTATCATTTGCATTTGTTTTAGAAGTAATCCATGTCCCCATCACTTGTTAACTGTTGTTGAGTGTTTTTTTTTTTTTTTTGTTCCAGCTGATTGATCTGGCTCTGATTGTCAAGCGAGATGCTGTGGGTCTTTCTGGTGATCCCCTGACCAAACATATGCCCAGCTTCTGTTCAAGTTATTATGAAGCATTCCAAGATTCAGCAATTACCAATACTGTATCAGGTTCCAATACAGCAACACAGATGACTGGTAAAGGTCCAGGTTTGGTGTCTCCAAATCAGGTAAGTGCCCCCACCACCACCATCACAAATCTGTTGAATGCTGACTCACTCTTTTTAATGATTCTCTATGCATTTCACACACAAAGGTAAAGGGCGTTTTTTTTTTTTTTTGTGGGGGGGGGGGTTACAAACTGGTTAGGGTTTCGAGGTTTATTTTCTGCATATCGTTAATTAATTATTATTAATTTTAATATAGAATAAAAGAGAACTGTCAAATTGAGTATCAAGACATTTTGCATCACTTCATTTGAAAATAATCCTAAAATTCCACTTTTTTCTTTGCATCTTAATCAAAGATAATATATTGTTTTTTTGTTCATTTTTTTCTCTACTGAATTCAATCTCATTAAAATGCAAAATATAAAAATAAATAAAATAATAAAAAGTAAAAATGATTATTCCTCGAAGTTTCAGCAAAGAAAATATTTGTGAAATGTTATAAAATTGATTTGTTTTTATTCTTCTGCATATTTAAATACTGAGAAAATTGATCTGAGAATTTCCAAACTTAGATCTATGAACATCAGACCAACCAAACCATTGTTATGTATACAATCATTAAATACAACACCAAATATAAAAATCACCATTTATGTCTCTTTATGGTGACATATGTAAAGTGCAAAATCTTTTTTCTATAAATCATAATTTCACAGTAACAAAAGAAAAAAAAATGTACATATTTTGTCTCAGCTGTTGTTGGCCATTTCCAATGTGTATAATTTATGGTTTTGGTATTTTGGCATTGCAAGATGCAATCAAACATGAAGAATAAACTCTTAGGAATCTAGAGTTTTGATGTGACACTATTTAACGCTGGAAGATGTTTAATGCTGAAAAATAAGGATTAAAAGAGAGACTGATCAGCTATAATATTTAATGCTGGAAAATAGGGTTTAGAAGATACAATGAAGGATAGACTGATTAGCTACAATGAAGAAAATTAAGATTTTATTTTTAAGAAAAAATTAAGATTCTCAGAGAATGAGAATTGCGGAAAGGATAATGTTTTGATAGAGCAATGTGGAAAGTGTGAGAGTAATTAATTACAAAAGGCACTAGAGATAATCAGCCAGAAGGGTGGTCAAAGGACCTGGAGCCGTGAACAACAGTGTCTTAAGTTTATAAAACAGGAAAGTGTGTAAGCGATAATTTTACAAATAGTAATCTTGACAATTGATGAATGATGGTCATTAAAAATGCTAGTTATCAAAACACAATAGAAAGCAGATACAATTTGTCATCCAGAAGTGGAAAACAGATTTTTTTGTAAACAGGCATAGAATTTAAGGAACAGTCAATCAAGAAGGGCCATGTGTTAAATACCAGAATTTTGACAAGGTGAGAAAAAGACTTGCAGGCAAATTTCTGAATGATAATTTTAATTCTAATACTGACAAGCCAGAAAACCCTACGTAAGCAAAATGTTGAGCTGATAAAGTCTTCTAATTAATGAGGTAAATTGAGTCACATCATGAAGATTGAGAAGCCATTGGCCAGGTGGTAGCCATAATGGCGGGCACAGCTAGGACAACAGGAAAGATGGAGAAGTTATTAACACCTTTATTCAAGAGGTGTCAGTGTAAGATGCCAATTGAGGAGAGAAGGAGTATGGGCGGATCAATATCCTGTGACCATGCCCCACAAAAGAGAAGGTTTTACCAAAAATCACAAGCATAAGTGATTTTAACCAATGGACCTTTATTGGATTTAAGGGAATCACCAAAACCCCAGACCACTTCTTGCCCCACGCCGATTTTGGAGTGAGGGCCTATATAAAAAAACATTGAGCGCTGTTAAAAGTCAATATTGAAGACCGACCAGCTCACTGAGATTGCCCACGTGACTCCTGCCAAGAACAAGAACTCTGACTTTGAAGAAAAACTACGCTAAGACCAAGAAGTAATCTTCACCCTTGTACCAACAAAGTTAATATGAAAAGCACATCGAAGTTAACGCCAAAAAAATTAACATCAAAAAACAGAATTACACTAACACCAAAAACAGAACAAACTCCAGATTGAAAATAGAATTTTATAATCCAGCTCTGAGAACTTTGCCCAAGTGTCACACTCTTTTTAAGACAGGTTGGAACAATGTTTGTTGTCAACCAAAGAACCAATATAAAGGTGAACTTTGTTACTTATTAACTGTGCATCATATTTTGTTTTATTTTTCACTTTTACTAATGTTTTACCTTCACCCTAGTGGATTGACTTGGTACCAAAGATTCCAAGCAACCACATCTGACCGTCCTATGATTAAAAATTCACAACATAGGATAGGATAAAGGCTGGGATTGAACAGGTAACTTACAGCGGTATCATACATCTTAGATGAGCCAAAGGCTTGGGTGCTACGTATTCAGACCCAACAAAAGACCTTAGAATCCAGGTGGTGCATTATTGGTCCCATGATCGAAGGCGGCCAAAGGTACCACATTATTGATGAACGTGACCAAGGATCAGCCTCCAGAAGGTGTCGCATAGAAAATTTGACCAAAGTCAATTTAATCATTCAACAGTATGTGCATGAGTGTGTCCTCTTTCTCCCCCCCCCACTCTTCTTTATTTTATTAAAAACATGCACATTTAAAAACTTGCATCTTCCTCTTCGTCAACTACCTGCATAAAGCAGATATTATCTTTGGTTATTGGCTTGCATCCTATGCAGTTACTATAACTATTGAAAGAATGAAATCAATTCTTGATGACCATAACTGCTTTCTCGGATCAGTCATTAAAAATGCCTTATTTACACTATTTATATGCAAATTATTGTTCGTATCTTTGTTGTTATCACAACGTTTCAGACATTGTACCTTCTGGTCTTCATCAGGTATATGTCACCCTAAGTAAATGATAGGGAATTCCCTAGCTTAAAGTGTTGGTTCATAAATTTGGTGACATGGTAATTGTAAGTTCAGTCTCTGGGCCTGGCAGTGTGTACTTGGACTCTGTGGAAATGGGGCAAGGAATAACTGAGCAATACTAAAAATGAGAACTAGATGAGATATCTGTAGACATAGGCAGTGGAACTAGATCAGTTTACCCCCTGTAGATTAGATTATATTAGACAAAGGATTCACTTAGGAATTCAGAATGTAAATAGTATAAATAATGATGGCTCATCCCAGAACTTCAGACAGAAGTGAATGAATCCTCTAGGTCTTAGCAAGGGCTATCCTTCTTCGAACCTTGTGAACTTTTGCTACAGAATCACAAAGAACTGTACTTATTAACAGAAATAACATCACTTGAGTACTTTCAGCAGCAGCAACAACTAAAATGGATGACACATCTAACTCAAAAAGAAAATAACATAATCAAAATGTTGACATACCACACTACATTGAACAAAAGGTTAGAAAGGAAACCCCCGTAAATACTAGAAACACCAATAAGTTATTATATTTGAGAAACCTTTTTTTCCTAAAAAATTGTTTTGATAGAAAGATTTTATAAATTTCAGACAAAAATAGCACTGGCTGCACAATCGACGTAAGTTTCCTTCGAAGGAAACAGCTAGTATTACCATTAGAGAGATTCCAGCTTGATAGCCAGCGAGTGAAGAAAAGCATAACTTGAGTAGCTCACTCAATGAATACCAAACGTTTCCTTAGAAGAAAACGCTAACATTACCAAACCATTTGCTGCAATGATTCAATGAAGCTCTTAGAATAAATTGATGAAATGAATTATCTGAATGTCCACTTGTAAAATTTTGCACTTTTCTTATTTTCTTTTTTTTACAGCATTTCTTTATAATATCAATTTCTACTCAATTTTGCCCTATTGTCATCTCAACAAAGTCGTGCATAGTTAAACTGGCAAAAAACTAAAAATTCTTAGATCAATCTGCAATTAGGACTTTACTCAGTCAGCATGTGCAAAGAAGAAAACGAAGAAATCAGGTTTGATGCCATGAAAATATCACTCTGTTCCAGTGGCCCAGAGAAAAGTGAAACAATTTTGGCAGATTGACAAATCATGATTCTCCACACCAGAATATTGAGTATTGTCATTAACAATATGTGGCACAAGGTCAATAAATTAATGGTAAAGGAAAAAAAAAAATCTTTACTATCTTGTTTTTCATGTAACTCATCAGATTTACTGACCAATTCATTTTTTGTTATTTCTCTCAACACTAAGCCATTTTTTTCTTTTCATTATTTCTTTCAACATTGTACCATTTTGTCATTATTTCTTTTTGGGTTTTTTTTTTCTCAACTCTGGACAATTTTTTCATTATTTCTCTTGCCAATGGATCATTTTTTTTTTTTTTATTTTTTTTTTTTTCCTTCTCAACACTGGATGAATTATTTTTTCATTATTTCACTTGCCACAGGACCATTTTTTTTCATTATTTCTGTGAACACTGGACCATTTTTTTTTTTTTTTTTTTTTTCCATTATTTCTCACAACACTGGACCATTTTTTTTATTTCATTATTTTTCTAAACACTGAACCATTTTTTTTATCATTATTTCTCACAACACTGGACCATTTTTTTTCATTATTTCTCTCAACACTGGACCATTTTTTTTTTTCATTATTTCTCTCAACACTGGACCATTTTTTTTTCATTATTTCTCTCAACACTGGACCATTTTTTTTATCATTATTTCTCTCAACACTGGACCATTTTTTTTCATTATTTCTCTCAACACGGTACCATTTTTTTTTTCATTATTTCTCTCAACACTGGACCATTTCTTTGGACCATTTTTTCATTATTTCTCTCAACACTGGACCATTTTTTTCATTATTTCTCTCAACACTGGACCATTTTTTTCATTTTTTTCAACACTGGACCATTTTTTTCATTATTTCTCTCAACACGGTAGCATTTTTTTTTTTTTTTTTTCATTATTTCTCTAAACACTGGACCATTTTTTTTCATTATTTCTCAAAACACTGGACCATTTCCTTCTTTTTTTTTTTTTCATTATTTCTCTAAACACTGGACAATTTTTTTTTTTTATTATTTCTCTCCACATGGGACCATTTTTTTTGTAATTTCTCTGAACACTACTGTTTTTCTTTAATTTCTCTTGCCACTGGATCATTTTGTTTTTTTGTTGTTGTTTTTTCTGAACTATTGTTTCTCTTGCCCCTAACCTGTTCTTTCTTGAAAGGAAACTCAATCATGCAGGAAACTATGTTTCTTAGTGCAACCACCTTGGCCAGTTAGTCTACATATGTTGACAACAATTCCATGCTGTGAAGTAAGAAGTCAATAAAGAAATGGGTTCATATCAGAATATAAGCCACAATAAACTGTTGGATTTGTGCAAAAGAAGGTTTCCTCCTCACCCCTTTCAATTGGATGGACAAACTCTATAAGATCAAGATCCTGCTGCAGAAGAATTGATTCCAACATATTGAAGGAACTGTAGTTAATGTGATTTTCAAAGAAATTCTCCTTAAAGCTGGTAGGAGGTTTAAACATCTAACTCCTGTTGCACAAATTTTGTAACATTTGTTAATTGTGAGTGGAAAGAGGTCAACAAGAGTGCCCTTATTGGTTCCAGTTGATATTTCTTCTTTTTCTTCACTTTTTGTTTCTCATCAGAGTTCCATTTCCATTCTGGTTTATTAATTTCATTTGCACTCTAAATCACTTGGGGAAAAATATAAATCAACCTCTTCTCTACCCTCCCCCTCCCTCACAGCCAGCTTTGGGTTAATTAGTAGAACTTGTATCAGTAAAGATTGCTATTATCTCTAAAAAATTCATACAATCTAAAACAAAAATATTTTCTGGCTTTAAATAACCTTCAAAAGGTTGGTAAGCCATAAAAAAAAACAAATCTTTCATGCTTATGTGTTTTGTTCACCAATCTTTATTTCTAAGATCTGAAATAAGGTCTTCATTTTTTGTAACTTGTATTCCTCAGGGATTTGAATCCTTTAAACAGTTGGATGCTGCAAGATTTCTGCCCCAAATAATCTCAAACAATAGCAGATTATTTATGTCTTTGTTTTGTTTGAGAAAAAATTTCTTTATTATTTTTGAAGAGACTTTAAATATAAAAATCCAAGGCATGAGACAACATCTTTAAATATTGGTGGTTTTTTTTTTTAATGATTTCATCCCAAGCAAGGCAATCAAGCCACTAAGACGCAAGGGGTTACAGAGTGTTAGAGAATATGAGAACAATAATTTTTTTGGATAACTCTTTGTTGGACATGACCAACTTTCATAAACCTCATTGGTATAGGGTAAATAATGAAAAGAGAACTTGACAACAATAGATTATAAAACCAGTTCTCTAACCACTGCCCCATGATGATATTTATAAAACATTATTTGCAAATTGATTTCTTAGATGTGCAAAAGATCTTTTCAGATTTTTAATGTTGGCAGCAAGATTGCCAATATGCCTGACTCATTGACAAAAAGGAAACAAATGAATTTGCCTTTTTTTCTTTTCTTTAACACTATTTCAAAAGTTATTCTGTTATTTATTATTTAATTGTGGTTGTATTCTGTGATTGATTTGCTTATTAATAATATTTCTAGTTAAGAATTGCTATTTTTTTCTTTACATTAAAATAACTTTTTGCAAAGAGTAAATTCTTTTATTTCTGATTATTTAAGTCATTAATTTGAATTTTAAAAGTGTAAGATGTTTGTCCTAAGACATGTTTTTGTGACTTTTTTAAATCTTTTTCTGTTAGAAAAAAGAAAAAAAAATTATAATTCAGCTTTTTATATTCCTATTTTAGAAAATCTAATCTTTTAAACAAAAGCATTTGTTTCTCATGGACTTTTTTTTTTTTAAAATAGCTCTTAATAGTTTAGAAAATGCTTTCTTTTTTCTTAATAACTTCCTTTTAATAGAAATCAGGTTGGCTGAACATGTTATTTTTTGCTTTTGTGATTTTCATATCAAAAACACAGACTTTTTTTTTCTTTAAAAATTTTTGTCTTGTGAATCATCAAATTGGATTGTTTACAATGCATATCGAAGGGTCCAGTTCATAATAACGAATGTCATGTGACCGAAAACTGACTTCACCAAAACCGTTAAATCTAAGCTTTACTTCATATCTAATTTGTACTTTTCTTAAAATGACACTCATTAAATTTGATTGTTGCTTATTTACGATGAGGAATAATTGACAAGTTGGTTTATTTAAGAGGAACATTTAATGTTTTAATGAAATTAGTTAAAGCCAGGAAATTCTTTTTTGTTGGGCAGCCAAAATAAAAATTTTAAAAAAATTTTTAAAAATGATTAAAATATAAAATTAAAATATTTAAAAAGTACATAGAATTAATACAAAAAATCATTTTAATATTTAATTTAATGATGTATTTTGGATGGGTTTGTTTTACATCATTTTTATCGTATATAAACAACAATTAATGGATGTAATTTTTAACTGATAAATAATTTTTAAAAAAAAGATATAAAAGTTATCTCCCTTGATTTTTCTAATTTTTTTTTTATTTTTCGTAGAAGTGAACCATTTGACGAAGTGAAATTTTGATTTAATGCTTTCAGCAAAGCCAGTTATGTGCCATGTGACATTCACTGTTATGATTGCCTCTTAATTTTTGGTATCAAAGGTACCAGGATCTTAATGAATATCTTTGATTTGAACAGGAACCTTCTTCAAGAGTTTAAGAGAAATCTGGAATATAATACTGTCTGACCAAATTCAACCCAGTTAAGTTAATCCCACTTTTAACAAACACTGGAATAAATTTTGTCATTTGATAAAAAACAAAAAATTTCAGTGAATCAATCCACCTTTATTTGAAATGTTAAACTGAATAAATGCTCAATTAAAATGACTGCCTCTTTCGTATTTAAACAAGATGATGATGGCAATTTTCTAAGCATAGCTTAGATGTGGCACAAGGCTGAAAGTATGGGCACCCAGTGAGGATCAAACTCACTACTCGGTTGTAATGATACTAGCTTGACAAGTTTGCTAACCATTACACCACATTGATATGCCCATAGTGATTTTCAAAATACAGTTCAGATGTGGTACAATGCCGAAAGTATGGAGCACCCAGTGAGGATCAAACTCACTATTCAGTCAAAATTGATTTAGTGAAGTAACCTTACTAACTATTATACCACATCGAAGTGCTCATAAACAAGATGAAGATGGTTGTTATTTGAAGACAATATACACCCCAGTCAGGATTAGTGTTACTCTAGTTAAAATGATATTCTGAATGGGGGATTTAAGCCCCCCTCTGCCAGCTTGTTTTATTGTAAATTTTATTAATGAATAAATAACATTTGTTGCACTCTCCAAATTATAGCAATATTTTTTTTCTGGAATGATGATTACTCAAGTTTTATTCAATTTTTTTTTTTTTTTTTTTTTAAACAGGTTTTTCCCTCATTCTGATATTTTTTTTTTTTTTTTTTCACACATTTTACAAAATTTTTCTCTTGACTGCCTTCAATTTTACATCCCATTTTACAGGTTTTTCTTTAATTCTTGAAACTGTACACAACACTATGACCATCACACGTTTCAGCCACAGTTTTTTGTTGTTTTTTTTGTTTTTTTTTGTTTACGTTTTTGCTTCATTTTATCTTTTTTCTTTCTTTTTATGTTTAACCCTTAACACTGCGTTATTCACTACTTTCCTTTCCACTTAATTGTTTTTCAAGGTTCCTCTATTGCACTACTTAATTTCAGTTATGGTCATTTTCTGTTTCCATAGCAGGATATGACAACACAACTGCAAAATTCAAACATGTTATTATTCATTCATCTGAGTCACTTGCAGTGGCAGGATAAAATTTTTGCTTTGCAAACAAAATCACCTCCAGAATGTTAAAGGTTAAATTTAAAAAGAAAAATGTGTTATTTGTTGTTGTACACCTCCCATTTTGTCTTTATACCCTCTTTTGCACAGAATTCTCATTTTTTTTTTATTTTTTTTTTACTATTACCCTCAAACCCATCACCAAAATCTCCATTCTCTCTACTCTTTACAAATTTGTGGCCACCCCTTTTACTAACCCCCTCATAGTGAACTTCATCTTTGCTTGACACCCCTCCCTGTCTCACTAATGCCAGTTTTTCGTTTGTGTGTCCGCCAGAGTCCACCTTCAACTCCCTCCACACCAGTGTCAGCGGTGCCCACTTTGCCAGGGGGCCCTCTGTCCACCTCCCAGGGTGGCACTGGCAGCAACAGCTCGGCCTCTGGTACTGCGGTCAACACTGTGGCCAATTCTGCTGGTACCAACGCCGCTGGTCTGCCAGGATCCAAGTCTAAGTCGAAGAAGAGAAAGAAGGTTAGTGACAGTGACTGCCACACTAAAAACCAATGAAGACTTCAGTATTTAATCGCTTGGATTTTTTAAGGGCTTAGAAAACTAAAACAATAATACTTATTTCTTGACTAATTACTTTTCTTTTTAAATAACTTTAATTGAATATGAGAGTTAATCTTCAATACACTCACACAACCATTAAGAAATCTAAGAAATTTGCATATCGAGGTATACTGGACAGCCTTTTTATAATTTCTCTACAACTTTTTTTATTTTATTTTAATATTTGTTCATATATTGTTTGATTAAATTTGCAAATTTGACTTTTATGGAAAAAGCTAGTTAGGTTTTATTTGAACTAAGCACCATTTAATTTTTTTTGCAAGGAACCTTTTCTGTATTTTGCCCTTTTATTTTAAAAGAAAGGTCATTGAGTCTTTGTTACACTTGGATTATATGCAGAATATTTGGTCTCGCATTTCAGTGTAAAATGAACTAGTTTATTGTAACAATTCCTTAAAAAAAATACTATTTTAGCATTGCTATATATATATATATATATATATATATATATATATATACTAAGCATTAATGAAATTCTTTTTTTCTAACAATGTTTATAAAATATATTCAGACTACCTATCTATGTACTTGTGTTTTTAAGTTTAAAGAATGTTCTGTTTTTAATCGGCTTACGGTCACATAACATTGAAACACCAATTCCCATATGATCACTGAAGTTAAGCAACGTTGAGCCTGGTCAGTACCTAAATGGGTGACTGCTTGGGAATACCAGGTGCTGTGAGCTTGGATGTACAGTTGGTGTAATGGATAATGGCTTGGAATTGTTAATCGGAGAGCCAAGTTCCAATTTCTGTTGGGTTTGTTATATTCACTTACATGCAAATACTCTTAGAAAAGGTATGAATCCACCTCTTCTCCCTCCAACTATGGGTTAATTAGTAAGACTTGTATCACTAAATGATTATTATTTTTAAAAAAATAACTCTTAGACTCTAAAAATATTTTCTGGTTTTCAAAGAGTTGATAAACCATAAAAACGAATCAATCAATCAATGTAATTTTTAAAAACTTTAACAAGGATTTAAATTGCAAACTTTTGTTTATCTTTTTTTAGTTAATATTTGCTTGAAATTTAAGCAAATATAGAGCAGATCAAATTATTTCTGTTGATATGGAAGAATTATTGACTACAAATCAAATGCAACCCAATGGAAAATAAATTTAATCATTAAATAGTCCAAATATTAATAGTATTCTCATCATTTTCGTTATCACATTGTTTCGACTGTTGTTTATTCTGGCTTTCTTCAGAAGACAATAGTGTAGATGATCCATTGGTTTGTGAATTTTGAGGCATAGTAATTGTGAGTTCAATCCCTGGGATAGGTAGTTCAGACTGAGAGTGAACAATAAGTGAGCAGCACTAAAAAGAAAACAAGATATTTGAAGACATGGACAGCAAAACCAGAACAATCTACACTTGTAGATTAAATAAAAGGTTCAGATAGAAATTCCCTCCCTAAACGTGTTACCTGCATCAATAGACATGTGAATAAGTCTACAAGGAACAATAAGTGAAACATTGTGATAATGACAAAGATAAGGATATTAGTCTAGATGCAAATAATATTAATAATAAATGACTCCTCATTGCAGAAATTCAGACATAAATTAGTCATGGATTTTACTGTGTGCGTTGGGGGGGGGATATAAATTTAAGAAACATATCAGATTAAAATTTTATGATTAACTTTCACTTTTAAGCAAAATCTTCAGCTTAATCATTGGCTTGATTTTGAATTTAAATTTTACATCTTTCTATTTTGTGCAAATTGATCAATGATTTTTCTATGTATGAACATGTACTGAAAAAAAATTAGGAAGTTGTAGTGGGTCATTTTAATTTTTCTACTATTCATGTTGAATATTAAAAAAAAGAAAAGAAATTATCTAGTTTGGGCAAAAGTTTCTCTTTAATACACATTTCATTGAACAAGACTGATAAAGTGCTTCTGTTTAATTTTTCTTATTATGTTTTTCTTATGTTTTTCTTGTATGCGTACAAGTGTTTACTTTTCCAGATAAAATGAATGTAAATATTTTCCAAAAGTTTGATTCCAATGCTTTCAGCTAAACTTTTAGTCATTTTCAAGGATTTTTGTTGCATACCATTCAATATAGTAATATAAATGTTCTTGTAAATGGTACACATACTTCCAAGTGCAAAAAGCATTTAAAAACGATAGAAGCCCTTCTAAAAATCAAGGAACCAACCCTTATTAACATTAATTGTGAACACTACCAGAATGTACTGGCCATATTTACTTTCAGCAACTTTTCTACCAGCTACAATTGCACTTACATGCCATTAATTATAGCAGAATAACAAAAATCCTTGAAAATGACTAGTAGTCTAGTCAAAAATGTCCAGAATCAACGTTTCAACAAATCCATCAAAGAAGACACTAGTACGTAGAGAAGAAAAACATAATAAAAAAAAAAAAATCAAAAGTACCTTGTTAGTGTTGTTCACTGAAACGTGTATTTTTTTTGTTTAATCATTTAACCACCCAAGCAAGACAATAAAGCCACTAAGACACAATTAGTTACTTGAGAGTGAGAGAATATGATGATAAAAAAACATTAAGGTGAGAGAGAATAATAAAAGGACAGAAATTAAGAAGACAGAAGATAACGATTGGCACTGCATTTAAAATTTTGAAAATGAAGGTTAACTAGAAAAGCAATAATCCAGAAGAGTTCTGCAAGCAAGAAGTTCAAGGGAAGAAAATATATATATATATATATATATATATATATATATATATATATAAAAAATGTGAGCACATCGGAATGAAAAACCAGTTGCACAAAGATGCACAGAACAATCCTTAAAAACAAATGTAACAACATTCAAAGTACTTGGGGTTGTTGTCAAATTTACCTATAACATAAACAACTAATTTGGAAAGTGGAAATATTTGATAAACAGAAATTGGAAATATTATTTAATCAAACATCTTTGAGAGCATTATTACTGGCAAAATATATCTATATATATATATATATATATATATATATATATATATATATATATATATATAGGAAGGTTTTATGGTTGTTCCAACAAGAGAAAGTGTCTTTTAAAGAGAAAAACCTGCAAACATTTATTATTATAATGTGGATTTAAAAAAATACTTTATTATATATATATATATATATATATATATATATATATACACACACACACACACAGTGCGATGGGTAGATTATCACCAATTGGGTACCATCTTTGAGAAAAGAGCACCATGACACAATTCACTCTGCCAGAAATTTGGAAATGGCATGCTGTGCTGTTTGGCATTCATGCCAAAATCTCCAACACGAACATTCTAAGTATTTGGATATCAATCTGAGGACACTGCAGAGAATTCAGAAAGAGTTGAATGAGTCTAATTGTGATTTACAAAGGTATGGCAGCTTGGAAAACTCACTCTGTTCATTCTGATAAGAAAAGAACTCCTGAATTTGTTGTTGAGGGCCTCAGACTCAACATATCAAGTGCCTTGAGGAAATAGTACTGGCCTGGGTCAAGAAGATGGCTGCTGGAAAACCCTATGTCTGCAGCATGCCACGCAAGCAGAAGAACCCAGTCATGGCTCTCGGACAATTTCTGTGACCACATCAATCACCCCCTTATATTTGGCCACCTATCTCCCCAGACTGCACCCCCCTTAATTATTATGTGTGGGGGCACAGTTGAGCGAGAGACCAACAAAACTCCTTGTAACACCAAAGATGAACTGAAGGCAAGGATTATGGCAGTATTTACCAATTTAAACAAGGAGACCATCCAGAAGAGCTGCAGCATATTCCAAAATCTGGAGGCTGTGGTTGGAGCCAATGGTAATTTTAGTACTTCAAGATATTTTTGTGTCATTTTCATAAATATATCTGTTAAAATTGTTATTTTCATTTTTTGCATAATTTAGATGACAATTTATCCATCACACTCTGAATATATGTTTCAGAAAATCACCAATTTCTAATATAACTTAAAAGGAAATGTCAGTTAACTCAAAAAGGTATTTGTATCATCAAATGATAAGAAATCCTGAAAGCCTTATTTACTTACAAAAAATGAGATTACTATTCATGGCTTTTGTATTTTCTGAGTGGAAGTTTTATGTACACTTGTAAATATTAAAATTAAGTAAGAAATTGTATGTAATATGCCACACTGTTCACAGTCCCTTTTTTATTCCCCCCTCCCTACATATCCTTGTGCTTCCCTCCCCCCATGTCCACTTTTTCTTGTTCTTCTCTTCTTTCTCTTTCATTCTTTGCTCTTAATACAAAACATTTGTTACAAAGTTGCTGCTTTTTAAAACATTAAGGTTTTTCTCCAGTATTTTTTTTTTTTTTTTTTTTAATGAGTTGATTTCATTTTTTGGTTAGAGAGAATATAACCTCATTGTACCTCAGATAGGTTTCTTTTCCTTTTTGTCTATGAAAATACATGAAGAAAAAAATCCTAGTTTTGTATCTGCCCTTGATAACTTTTCACACACACACACACAACCAAAAGTGCTTGTTGCTGCATGACCCATGTGAATGTCAGTATGTCAAACACCTGCTCATAGTCGGAAGTCCTAACAATTTTATTTTCATTGCAAAACATTATTAATATTTACTAAATTTTGCAGGAAAGGGTAATGGGGGGGGGTATTTCAAAGATTGTGTTGTGCCACTCATGCAAGTGGGGAAGGTCTGCTTACTTTGAAAAACAATAATAAAAATAATATCTAGGCATTTTTTTTTCTTTTTAATCAATTCACCCCAAGCAATACGATAATGCCACTAAGACACAAGGGCCTACTGGAAGTGAAAGAGAATGAGAAGACTTTAGGAACCAGAAACCCAAAACTAAACAGGGAATAAGGGATAAACCTCTACTCCTGTTCAAAAGACTAGGGAGTAGTATGAACCGAATGCCGAGTTTAAACACCAGTTTTTAATGTTGGCAGAAAAATACACAACCACATCAGCCACCAAGCTTTTTCATCAAGGTAAGTGTTGATATTGACAAAGTTTAATGTAGCAAAGTTAAATGAGGAAAGTTTGCATTTTTATTTTTTTCAAGGAAGAAAGGGGTTTAATACTTTGAAAATCAGCATTTGAAATAACGACATTTTACTTTAGTTTGAACTTCTCAATTACTGGTGGTGCTGGAAGGGAAAATATAGAAACCATTTTTTTCACAGATTTCTTACATAAAAGAAAATGTCAGTTGACTCAAAAATGTATTTGTCTCCTCAAATGACAGAAACCCTGAAGCAAAAGTTAAACATTGAAATCCATATCTGTTTGCAAGAGGTGAGATTACTGTTCATGGCTTTTGCATTTTCCGAGTGGAAGTTTTATGTATACTTGTAGGTTTTAAAATTAAGCAAGGAATTGTATATAATATGCCACACCATCTTGTGCACATGTTTGCAGACCCTGATTCTTACTCTATAAAAAGTATGTTATCAATTGTCAAAATTAGTAGGCTCAACATTGTTACTTAATTTTTTTTCTGAAATATTTAAAAAAAAAAAAAATCAAAGGCAAGATAATGAAGTCAGGTATGGCTGATCATGTATATAAGGAAAACAGTGGTTGCCAATACCTGTGGAATGAAGTAAAAATACTAGGCAGAAAACAGTACTGGAGAATTAGACATCTGAGGGATTCAGCACATATGCCACACTAGGCATATCAGAGAAATGAATGCCATAT